TTTTTTTTTTTTTTTTCCATTTCCAGATTGAGATGCTACCAGATGGGCTGTTTCAGTGCAAAAAGCTGCAGTGTTTACTTTTGGGGAAAAATAGCCTGATGAGCTTGTCCCCTCAGGTGGGGGAGCTGTCGAACCTTACTCACCTGGAGCTCATTGACAATTACCTGGAAACACTTCCTCCCGAACTGGAAGGATGTCAGTCCCTCAAGCGGAGCTGTCTGATTGTCGAGGAGAATTTGCTCAGTACCCTTCCTCTCCCTGTCACAGAACGTTTGCAGACCTGCTTGGATAAATGTTGACCTAAAGACAACATGATTCCTAAAAGTGTGCCCCAGGGCTTTAAATGAGAACTAAAATTTCCTAACTTATAAAGATTTTAAAAATGGGTAATAATAATGACTAATTATAACCGAATGTCTTATTAAAGCAACTCAGTGTGTAGCCCTAAATGAAACAGGTAAAAAGTGTGAACACTGAACTGAGCATTGTGAATAATTGGTCTATGGCTTACTGACTTGTAAGAAACACACTTTGAGTGTATTTCTACCTTGCAGCTATTACCTTGAAGATTAAATAACTCTTCCCTCTCCCTCCCCAGCCCCCATTACTTATTTGCACACATGTTTTAACTGACTTCCTGTTTGGAGATTTATCACCCAGACCGTACACTCATCAATATAAATTTCCTTGATGCACACTCAAAGCTGTCTTTATGTTCTTAATTATTTGTAGGCAGGGTGTCTGGTGCTTGGCAGAATTCCTTCTTGCTTGTGTCTTCATCTGCTTTTCTCTTAACAGTAATGAACCCTGAGAAAGTGCCTGCTCTTGGCCTTTGCCTAGGACAGGAGCAAGGATACTTAGGACACGAGGCCCTTGGGACATCCTGAAAATTAACGTATTCTCTCAGATGTCTTCTTGTGTATCACCAGAGCCATTTTTAATTTGCTATTAAGTTTTTATATTAAATGTAAAAAATTTTTATTGTATAATGAATTCAAAATCTGTGGGAATCATGTTTGTAAGGTACAGAGAACACGCGCATTTCCCTAAGAATTTACTACTAACGTACTTGATTTTGGCTGCTTAGGATTCTCATGTTTGTGTGCACTCTCCAAAATGTTTTTGTACTCTGCAGCTAATTACTTTTGGGTAACAAAAGCCTTGTGTTTCATGCCCTAAAATATTTAGGGGTTTCCTTATAAGAGGACGGCCGTATCATCTACCTCTCTCTTCCCTTGTTGCTGTGCTTATTGTACGGGTACAATTCTTAGTTACTTCAGAAACTGTGATGGAGGGGAGAGGTAGAGATTTGGATCTTTAAAATTGACTGCAAAATACTTTGTAGGAATTAAGAGTTAAAGCAAAATACTTTCTTCTCCGTCTGCATGATCTATGGATATGATTATAATGTAAAACACTCAGCCTCTATTCAGTGTTAAAGATGAGTTCTCAAAGCACACAAAGAAATAAATCCATTTAACTGGAATTCATTTCATGCCTTTGTTTAACTTTTCTGGAATACATTTTGCTCCTTTTTATAAAGGGTTTTTGTGTTTGGCCTTTTATCCTGCATATTGTAAAATGAAAACCAACTGGCTCATTTTAGGGAAATATACACTTGTAATGTGTTTTTCTCGAATGAGCGTTGGCATCTGATTTTGAATGTAACTATGAAGTAATCTATTCACCGCACCTAGACAAAGCTGGAAAACACTAAGGGTAAAGAGTACCTTCAGCATGGAGCTGCCCTGTGTCCTGTTTTTGTTGCTTTGCCCATTCCAAAAAGATGAAAAGTGAGTCTTTATAACAAAATGTAGCTTCCCTCACCTGCCACACACACCTGGACTGAATCTCAGAGCAAAGAATTGTTTGCATCAAATGAATTTGAATATTAACTATAAAAATTATAAAACACCAAAGGCTGCCTGAACCTTACTATTTATCCTGAATGAGAAGGAATGGTGTAAAAATGTAATTCTTACCAAAATTTGCCTTTAGTCAGAATACTCATGTTCTCAGGGACCCAGGCATAACTGATGAAACTGTCTTCTAGGACTTCAGAAAACAGATTCTGACTATATCTAGGGTTTTTTTGTGGGTTTGGGGGGGATTTTTTGGTCATTTTCATATTTTTAATATGAGTTGATGGTCATTTAATGTTTCACAATAGAATTGTCATGTGTATCAATTCAGTGTTAGAATTATCCTAAGTTTTGGACATGAACATGATAACATGGAGAGGTATTTAAATGTTCTTGGAACGTAAATATTTTGGACAGATAATTAGCCATAATTTGTATGAAAAATTTCTTTTTTCTAAAGAATAGATTTCAAAACAAATTTTAGACTGTTACCCTTTTCTTGACAAACTCGAACTTCTCCATGGCTCGTCACAGGTTTTGTTCACGTGCAAAACTCATTGGCTAAATCTTCCTTACCAGCTCTCTCAATTCCTGGAAACAAGTTACCATCAGGATTAATAATGAATGTTGTAAGCTTCTTTCCAAACATAAGAGTGTAGTAACTGGTGCAAACTCTGTTCTTGATGCCATAGTTTTTAGGTTTATTTTTTATTTCAACCTTACACACCAGTGTTTAGGTAGCTTTTGAAATGACATCGCACCAATGCCGTGAACTCTGAGACCACCACTTGACACACAAAAGGAGTTCGATGCCACCTTTCCTGAATTGTTGGAGCAGATCATTGTATAAGTGTTCCTATTCACTTAAGAGGATTTTAAATGAAGAAAATGATGTTTGTTCACTCAAAATTGTGAGACTGTAGTTGGCATTTGATTTCTAAGAACATGCTGTACATTTTCCAAAAAATAAATATGGATGCTATTCAGAACAAAGTTGATGGCTTGTGCTAGCAGTGGCATTGGTTCATTTTATTTACATGCACACGCACACAGAGATGCACACACAGATGCACACATGACCTTGCACACANATTTTATTTACATGCACACGCACACAGAGATGCACACACAGATGCACACATGACCTTGCACTTGCACACACACACACCCATGTATGCAAAATGTAATATTAGTTTTGGATATGTTTAGTATTTTTCCCAAGGTTGCAAGAGGTATTAGGTTAAAGCTAGGATATTAATTCTGTTTCGTTCATTACTTGTAATTATGAGTGTTCTATTCTCTTAGTTATATTGAAAAGAAAACTGAATGCTCAACCTTAGTCTGAGAATCCAAGCAGTTTTGAGCATTTCTGGTAAGGTGTCGTGTTCTTTCCCTAATCTACATCAGGGTACCTCTATGTGGCACATAGATACTGTGTTTTCATCCTGCATTCTCAGTCTTAATTTTTCTCCCCCTGATGTCACCATATTTCACTGTCACTTAACGGATGTTTGCATGAAACAGGGTAACTAGAGATCCTCCGAATCTCAGCGCTGTGGCACACGCAGCTCCCTGAGTGTGCTGTGGTGACTGCAGTGAGTTATTTGCATACCATTGTTTGATAGTGAAAATCTTTGTTTTTGTTCTTCAAGTGTTTCATGATGCAAATTTTGTATGTTTAATTAAAACTGCATACTATTATTGATGGGTTCAGAAACTATTAAACAGTTCTGTGGATTTGTAGCTTTATTTCCTTGTATTTTCAATAAAATGCTCTTTCCATCTTTCTTCTCTTATCATTGCCCTACCCACATAAGGCGTTTTGTTATCCCTCTCTACCCACCCACCTCCTTAAATTTGATCAGCACTTGTACAGTAACAACATATTTGTGCTAGAGAGCTTGCAGCGCTACCTGAGCATGCATTTATCTGGGGGGAAGCCAAAGCCTACAATTATGCCTAATCGAGTAGTTCTAATTTACCCATCCCTGACCCAACGGTGGGTCCCTCATCCCTCGCCAAAGCATGAGAACATAACTGTAAGTCTGCTTTCAGGAACTGTATATTGCATCAGAATCTGTGTTTATTTTTTTCTGGAAACATGAGGAAGGCTGATGGGAGAAGGGAGGAGTTATTTTGTATCCTGGTTTGAATTTTGAAGACATTGTATACATGAAACAGTTGCAAAACACCCTGAATATAATTATTTTTCATCTTCAGCCAGATATGAAAGCTGAAGCAGTCAAAAAACTGCAATCCTGTTTCACTGCTCTCTTCCTGTTTCTGCCTGTTTCTATATCCACTGGGAACTAAGTACCTTTCATAATGGACTACATTCTCTTAAACTTTTTTTTTTACATGAACAATTTCATCAACACTAAAGCATTAACATAGAAAATATAAGCCGAAGCACTGAGTTGAGATGGCTTCCAGTTGAACTTAATTCATATTCAAGTTTTGCATTTGACTTGTATAATACACTACTGCTAAGAAAAACAATTATGAATGCCTCCTGCATGTTATATATTATCTCTAACAGAGATGGTGCAATTTAAAAAATACAAAGGGGCATAGAATTAGAATGGATGTGTCTGTGCATATATGTGTTGTGTATAATCCTAAATATTTATGTTTAAATATTTTAAAAACTCATTAAATGTTTCACTCTCAGTGAAATGATGGGCCAATCTGAAGTAGAGACATTTTTTTGTTAGCGTCACTCTGAAGGCTCGCATTGCTTATTTTATCTTTATCACATATTTTGGAACATGCGTAATGGGTTTTTGCTTCTGGCAATAAATTATTAGAAAATGTAGGATTTTGTCATGAGTTGAATGTTTTCGGCCCTCAGGTTTACCATGTAAATCTGCATTTTAGTGGTAGATCCCTTTGCCTGAGATTCATCAGTTTGGTAAACTCTACTGTTTTTAAAGTACATTTTGTGTAAAAGGAAGATTCAGTTTTTATAATAAATGGCAAATAAAACCAGATTAAATGTTGGAAGAGGTTGACTGTACTCCTTTTTACCTGTGTACACCTGTCAGTGCCCAGGTTCTAAAATTGATTTCCTTCCTTCCTCCCACACTTCCCTGGGCAGCCAGCTGTGCAGTTACTTTATTTACCAAACAATAGATTTTAGGTTTACACGTGAATCTCATAACGGTCCTATGAGTTTTCAAATGAGCTATAACAAAAAATAAATAAGCTACAATAATCACAAAACAGCAAGCCCCTGAAAAGAGCTGAATTGATCCTAGAATGCACTGGGGGGAAGGGGAGGTGACACCTGCCACTCCTAATAGGTTCATCACCAATGATCACCCACCAGCCCATCTCTCTGCCTCTCTTCTTGGCTCCAGATAAATAGAAAGTAATGAGCTGCAAAATGAAATTTTCAGAAGTTTCAGTAAAGAGAAAAAAAATAAAATAGACACATAATCATTTGAAATTTTGAATAGATCTCTCCGTTTCCCTCCCTCTCATAGGCACACACAGTTTAAGAAACACATTAGAAAGCCGGTGCTCAGATCTTTTCTCTGCGAGAGGACAGAACTTGATTTATACCGAACCAGATTATGAAGGAAATTAACTGCTGAAATCAGATGGACATATTTTTCCCTGGAAATGCGGTCCTTCGAGAAGGCTTTCCTCCACATAAGTGCCTTGGGAATGGGAAATATACTGAAGGGGACATAAAGCCTGCTCCAGACTCAAGGCATTAGCAGCCACTCGGGGACTGCTAGGTGTTTGGGGCTGCTGGGGTCCTGTGCTAACAGCCTGCAGGGCGGTGACATGCCCCCATGAGCACAGTAAGTGTGGCCTCGTGTTCCTCAGCATTCCCTTCCACAGTGCAAAACGGCTTATCGAAAACGTGAAGGGCCCGCCTGTGGGGGAGACGGGCTTTGCCGTGCTGTCCAGGCCGCCGTTTGATTCTCGGGAGCTCCAGCTCTTGTTGGGTTTCTGCCCCCTTCTCTGGGTTCCCTAAAACCCTAGCTTGTCAACTCTCCCTCTCATCTCTGAGGTCTGGAGAAAAGCGGTTCATCCAAAGGCACAAAGTTAAACCTTGAACTCAAGCCGCATATTTACAGAGGAATATATATATGTGTGTGTATATATATATATATATATATATGTGTGTATGTATATATATAATATATATGTGTGTGTGTGTATATATATGTGAATATATATATGTGTGTATATATATATATATGTGTATGTATATATATAATATATATGTGTGTGTGTATATATATATGTGAATATATATATGTGTATATGTATATATATATATATACACACACACACATATATATATGTATATATATATATATGCCAATGAAGGATCAGAAAAAATGTCATTTTTATCGTGTAGTTTTTTTAAAAAATACAGATCTCTCTTCACCCACCCTCCAGCCAAGAGTTGTAAGTCCTGCCCCCTAAATACCAACGATTCTGTAGGACTACCTTCATGTTACTGAGAAGCTTTTCAAATGATTTCTCATACTAAACACCTTAAAGCTCGTTCGCCTTTTTACGCAGGCCTATTTGTCGGTGTGGAGCGCAATACGCTATTTTTTACTCTCTGCCTCCCTCTGCTGCTGAGATGAGAACAAACCGCAGAGAAGCTCCTCGGCTTCGGTTCCCTCCCCTTTACTGCCTGCCTTTAGCAAATGCGGCCCCCAAGGGAAGATCTTGAGAATTCAATGGCCTTCACTTAATCCCCACGACTCCATCTCAAATCAGAGGCCTTAGAAAGCGCCCTGCAGCACTTGGCACCCGGACCAGACCGGAGATGGACAAGCAAGAATTTAGCACCCCTTTCAAAAAAACATTCTTTGAATAATTTATTCACTATGTATTTGGTAGAGGTGGGGGAACTGGTTTTCTGTTACTGAAACTCATGAACCTTCCTATCAGCTGTCTGTTGCCTTCTCCAATAACAAAACTCTCACTGGGGAGACAGAGCTTAGAGGTCACTGAGCAGAGAGACAAGCGGGGGCTGGAGGGCTCATGGCATTTCTGTTAAACATTGCAATGGGGAAAATCCCTTCTCCCAGGCACCTTGAGCAAGCCTGTCAGCTGTGGGTCTCCCGGCTTTTTACTCTCCTGCCCCCTCCCCAGATCTCACTCCATACTCCAGACCCTCTCCCTCTCCCTCCCTCCCACTCTCTCCCTGTCTCTGCTGTTCGCTGCTGTCCTAATCTCACACTCCAAGCTCACATGTCCTCTCCCATTACTAAATCCCATCTTTGAGAGTATTAAATGCTTGTCATACCAAGGGTGATATTTTAGTTTTCCTCACCAAAATAAATATCTTTCAGTTACCAAGATTCTTCCTTCCTACGAGGTGGTTCCTTGTCACAGTTTCAGATAAGAGACTTGTTCAGAGTGCTGGCTGGGAGCAGGACCAATTCGCATTCCTTAGGCTGGAAACCTGAGACATCGAATGTGGAAACCTGAGTTAACTGGTCCCCTATTTCCAATTAGCCCAATGCCATGGGGTGTTGCTTGTCAAATTAGTGTCGAGGGAAGTGTTTAAACACAGCTGGGGATGGGGAGGCGGGGGGGGGAACCAAATGCCACCCGTGTGAAGGGAGTTTCCGGCTAGTCTTTCCCTGAACTCGGTTTGGATTCACATCCTTTCCTATTGCCACTGTGGTGACTTCATAGAGAAACTACTCAGATCGCTATGGGGAGAAAAGAGCAGTTCTGTCATCTTTTTCGTAACAGACAGCCAGGCTCAGGCAATTGCTCGGTGGGAAGGGAAAGGCTGAAGTACTAACCAAGGGAAGGAGGATTGATCGTGTCCATTAAGAGGCATTAGGAAAATATGCTGGACTTGTGATACCTGGGCAGAGCCTCATTAACGACGTCAAACAGAAAAGATAAAAAATTTAATCATGCCAGGTGTTATCTCAGCCCATCCGACAACTTCACTTGGTGCGTTACTCCCATTGTACAGAAACTTAGACATGTTCACTCCCGAGGCC